CCCCAAAACCCCAAAACCCCAAAACCCCAAAACCCCAAAACCCCGTAATAAAAAGATGCAATTGTCATAATATAATTATAAAAAATAACTAAATGCTTCCATCAGTCTCGAAGCCGAAACATGAAGAAAGTGAATTAATACCTTTCGATCTTTCAACTCCTGAATACGATCAGGATACCTATATGGGGAGATTTCTCACATTCTTACAAACTCAAAATCCTTTATTAACATTCGCAACTACCTCAAAAATCCATGCTGCTCAAAACACTCTTGCTGAATATGAAGCACAAAGACAAATTGCCATAAATAAAGACAACATTTATAAAATTACAAGAACTAAAGCTAAGGAGCTCAGAGAGGCTCAATACCTCATAAGCTCTTGCGTACATCCTGATACAAATAAAATTCTTGCTCCATGGCAAAGATTTTGATCATACTCTGTGTTTAACATTCCAATTGGTTTTGGATTGCTTCTATGTGAGCAAACAGTGGCTGCAATAATCTTCTGGCAATGAATAAATCAGACATATAATGCTGTTTTGAATTACTCCAATCGGAATGCCTCTTCAAATTCTGATACAAAGGGATTGTTGAAGGCATACTGTGCTGCTGTCATTTGTTCTATCACTATTGGCTTGCTGGTAAAAGCCCTGCTTTCTCCTTACTTTGCCTATTTTGAAGGATCGACTCAGCATTTCTTCAGCTTTTTTATTTCTCTCTCTGCCTGTGGATCTGCTGGAGTTGCCAATGTTCTTATTATGAGAGCTTCAGAGATGAAGGAAGGCATAGCTTTAACTGATGCTAAAGGGAATGAATTTGGAAAATCCCCCATTATTGGAAAAAATGCAGTCATAAAGACTGCTCTTAGTAGAATATTTCTCCCTATCCTTCCTCTTCTGCTGCCAACTTTGGCATTCTTCCTGATGGAGACCATAGGCCTGGTTCCTGAAGACATCCTTACAAAGATTATGATTGAAAGTATGGTCATCTTTTTATCTCTATCTTTTGCTCCACCAATAGGGTTAGCAATTTTTAAACAAAAGAATAAAGTCCCAGTCACAGGACTAGAGATGAAATTCCACAACCTCGTAGATTCAGATGGCAAGAGAATAACAGAACTCTATTACAACAAAGGCCTTTAGATTTATCCTAAAAGTTATGCTAAACTACTCTCGTCTTTTTTTCATTTGCTCAGTTGCCCAAAAAAAATCTATTAACTTGCTTCAAGTTAAAATCCACAATACCCAAAGTAGGTAAATCATGGCTAGATTTTCCTGTATTTAAGCTCTATTAACATCTGTTAGCATGAGAAGTCTCCTTAGGGGTTTTCAGTGCTTAAAAGTTATCAATGAACAAGACTAGAGAAGACTTCTTTCTGAGCTAAACACCCAATTTGTAGCTTAGAGAGGCTTTCCGAATTTTAGAATTTGAACTCTCAGAGATTTAGGACTTGGTATTTACATTTCAATAGAAATGTATGAAATAGGGGTTTTGGGGTTTTGGGGTTTTGGGGTTTTGGGG